TTTTGTTTTGTTTTGTTTTGTTTTGTTTTGTTATGTTTTGTTTCGCGTGTGTGTGTGAGCATTTTAATAACATGATGTATGCAAAACAGCTAAAGGATGCCTGGCATACAGCTGGCACTCAATAAATATTAGTGCTCCTCCCTCTACCACATTCCATCCTGCTCCAGGGCTGGCACACACACAAGCGTTGGATGCACTCTGCTGCCTTGGATTTCACTCAAACCCGACTTTCCATGGGAAAATGAATAATTGCAAAAAAATTGCTTATTTTCAAACATACTAAGACTTTCTTTGTAAGAACAACAGCTCACATTTGAGCATGTTCATGTGCCAGGCCCCGATCAGTTCACATGTTTTAATACATTTCATCCTCACATGACCCTAGGAGGTAGCCCGGATTTTGAGAGGAGTAAAGCAGAATGATTAGCCCAAGGTCATGGAGGGTGGCAAAGAGCAGAGCCCCATTTCAACCCAGATGTGTCGACTCAAGGACACTTAATGGTCTCTTTCCTGGGTGCTGGGCCTAGCACACATTTCCTATGTACGACTTTTTCTCCTGCTCCCACACCTTTTCCTTTGAACTCGGGTTTCGTTGAGGTTGAGTTTATAGTTTGCTTTTAGTTTTCCCCAACATATTTTCTTCTTGGTTCTGGTAAATGGAGACCAGGGTCCACAGAAATGGAGGAAATGCAAAGAAAACAAGAGCGAGAAGTTCTCCTAAGTGACAAGTCTTAGGGCAGTATTCACCAAGAGCCAGACAGAAAGCCAGCCCTCGAGCCACGTACCCTATGCAGGCCGATTATGTTGGCACCATGCATTTTTGTCTTTCTGCATGCAGATTTATGGTCCTACTGATCATAAATAGCTCTGGGTGAGAGGGCAGCTCCTGACTACAGAGATATTCTCAAGGATATTCTGTTTTCTGGGGAAACACACACACACACACACACACACACACACACACACCATGTCAGATATCTACCCAGCTCAAAACACCAAATTTCCTTTCCTGTTAAGACATGGATCAAAGTTGGGACGATCCCCAGCAAACAGGCACTAACACCGTGGCTTCTTATTTGCAAAACAGCAAGTATTTTTTGTCATACAAACTTTTACAAGATTAAGAAGAAAGCCTGATAAACCAGAGAGAATGTCTAGAGTGTGACAAGACTGGAAGGAAAGCAAAAGTATGTGTACAATTACATACCTATACCTATGTGTCTAATAATTTCTCCTTTATTTATCTGTTCTATTTAACATTTTCCAGTATATGATTAAGCAGATGGCAACATTTGCAGTAAGATAAATATTGTTCAGTGATGCATATTTCTGTATACAAAGTGTAATGCATTGCTCAGGCAAAATAAAACCCCACTGAGAGTGTGGGGAAAAAAGAAAAAAAAAAACCTCCAACCATCAATAAAATACCCTCTGTTCTCTCTGGCCTCAAAGCATTTGGATAGAAAGAGAAGCCACACCTCTCAGGCTGTTAGAACCAGAGGTGATCTGGATACAGTGAACCAATTTTTCATAGTCACTGCCGACATCTGAAAAAGTCCTGAGTTATCTGAGTAATGTGAAGCATGAGGAAATTTCTGCCAAAAAAAAAAAATCAACATTTCCAAGGGGTCAGACGATACAGAAACCCCAATTTTACATTATAGGTGCACGTGTGTGGAAGGGCAATTAAAGATTTGGTTCTTTGAATGAAACTCACTGGGTAGCAGTTTCTCTAAGGGCACAAGGAATAACACGATGACTTCAAGAGGATCACCAGAGTTGAAGGGAGAGAAATTACCCGTTCCTTACGTTAACACACACGGCTTTCTTTCATTTGTCCCCAATCTATCCAGAACCCAGAGTGTGATCTTTTTGACACTCTCCCCAGTATGTTCCCGCCCTTTATAAGTGAGCCCATCTGTTTCTTAAATTCTGAGATGACAGTCAAATCCACAGCTTACTGGAGACCCAGTGAAGGACTCGGCGTCTGAGCCACAACTCTGCAGCAATCCACCCGGTAATTCTAATATCTAAGAGCTTTGGAAGAGGCGGAGAGAAACAGGAGCTGGCAAATCTTTCATAGATATGCCCATCCTGTCACCATCCTCATGCCATCTCTGACTCTGCTCGAGAAACTGCGTGTTTCTTCTCGGCTTCTTAAAATGCACCGAAAATACAATCAGGTCCTTCCACTGGGGCACAGCTCCCCAGACATAAAAGGGTGGCAAGCGAGGAGCTCTGGGACAGTGAGTTCAAGGAAGCAGCAAGGTCTTGTTTAGAAAATGCTCTAGACGCAACGCCTGCCTGACACTCCGGGACAGCCACCTACACCACCAGCACCACCAGCACCCAGCCGCAGATTCCCTCTGCCTATAAGAACAGCAAGCACCTGCTCTGTCCCACCCCAACCCCACCCTCAAGAGAGCACAGAGATGAAGCATCATGTCCCAAGCACGTGTCTCACCAGCTCTTTAAGAGAGCCATCTGGAAAATCACAGGGATTTTTCTCTTTTTTTAACGTCCCACTCCTGAATCCATCTCTAAGACATTCCCGCTAGCAGCCCCGGCGGGGTCTGCAGACAAACCACATGTTGCAAAGGGCCTTAGTGGCTTTGGAAAAGAGCTAGTCCGCTCCTAGCCTACACCCAAGCTCAGGCGTCGCTGGACTTTGGGAACAGCCTGCCCCCTTCTGGTCTCCTTGAGCTCCATGGAAGGGCAGGGGCTGGGTGGGCACAGCTAGAGGAGGACAGACCCCCAGATCCCTCCAGCACGTCTGCACTGTGATTTCAAGATCTAGCAGGGCATGGGGGTAGACGTGGGGCAGGTGAAAGAGCGGGGACAGACAAGCAGAAAAAATTAAACACAAATCCAGGAGAGATGACAGTTCACGACAGCGAGGTAGCCACCCACAGGGAAGGGTGGAGGATGAAAAAAACCCTCACATGTATGTCTATGACAGAGGGCAAAGAAATTGATACCTGGGGAGATGTGAGTAGAGGGACAGTAATTAAACCTGCAGATGAAAGCAGAGTTTCAGCAAGCAGCGCGACTCTACTGCTGGGACTGGCATTCCACAAGGAATGCAGAAAGGTAATGGCATGCTCCCACCTCCCTTCCCAACTGCAAACCTCCCTGTGGCGGAGCTGGGAGGTGAGAGAACACGACACCGAACTAAGGCACACACAGACGGGGTGTGGACGGAATACACAACATGTCAAGGACTCAGGAAGAAATCCAGGCCTCCCTCCTCCTTTCCACTTATTTCAACAGGTGGTCTCTGCACCCAAAGACACCTTCCTGGTGCCTGTCTGAACCCCAGACACAAAGGATACAGGAAGCCCCGCGCCCCCATGTTCACTCTACATTTTCCCACTCTGGGCCAGCAGTGCGTGTCCCGAACCCCCTCACGCCCTACCTCCCAGTAGGGCTCCAAATCCAGAAAGAACCTCTAATTGCATTTCTGCCCAAACACATCACAGTTCACCCCGGGAGTTCAAAGGCTGTGTCTGGGAGGACCCTTCTCTGTAAATAAAAGGCCACAGGACATTGGGAATGTTCTGGTTCTCCGTCAGCAATCTCACTCCACTCTCCTCCCCACAAACAAGGGAAAGACGTCTACCTGCTACCCACACAGACAAGCCAGGGATGTGAAATGCCATCACATCACCTCCTGGGGCTGGCTCAGCCCACAGGCACAAAAAGCCACACTCTGGCTAAGAGGGTCCTCGCCGCTGATTCCAAAGAAGTTTAACAGATCAAAAAGCATCACGCTGTGTCTGAAGGCAGTGTTCAGTGAGGGCTCCCAGAGCGAGAAACACCACAGACATGCATTCAGTGTCTAAGGATCCTGAAAGTAACCCCTAGCATCTGATGTCCCCCAAGGGCTAGGAGAATCCTCGTAGGCGAATGGCATGAGAAAGACACAGACGGACACACCGCACGTCGTTATTCCTTAAGACAGACACGCACGCCCCACAGGGCGCAGAGAGCCTGGTCCAGAGGTGGGGACTCTGACCTCCTGTCCTCCGTGTCCTAGCTCAGCGGGCTCAGCAGGGCAGCCCAGAGGAGATGGGAAAGGCACCCCTGGAGAGGTTGGGGACAGGACAGGAAGACACCCAGATGGCCCCCGAAGATCTGCAGAAAAACCAGTTTCAGAGCTCAGGCTGTTCACACCCAAGGAAGGCAAAGAAAACGCACAGGAGCCGAAGTCGTGATGATGTGGCCAGACACAGAGCTGGTGACATTAATCGGCTCCGCGCAAGACGGAGAGCCAGGGGCAGCCATCTAGGAGAAGGGGCCGTGCCCTCACACCGGACAGGGACAGCCGGACAGCCGGGTGACGAAAGTCGGGGAGGGCACCGGGAGAGGACAAGGTTAGAGACGGGAGGCGCAGCCAGCCGGAGACGGCAGACAGGAGGACCGACCTAAAGTAAGCCCAGGCGCCCGAGCCCGAATCCCGGTGCAGGGAGGCGGCGGGGATTTGGGACAACGATCCCAGACCCCATCTCGGGCCAGGAAAAGCCAAGGAGGCGGCAAGCAGGGGACGGAGTGGTCTGCACTCGGCTCAGCGGAGCCCCCAAAGATGCTGTGCGCACCACCCACGAGCAGCGGCGGCTGAGGATCCCGGGCACGATCCGCGCACTCGGGCGGTGAGCGAGGCACCGACACCCACATGCACAGCGCAAGTCGGGGCGCCCAGCAAGAGTGCCGGGGGCCGGGGGCCGGGGGCCGGGGACCGCCAGGCTCCGTAGCCCCCAGAGCGCCTCCTCCGGAGGGAACTTCCCCAGACCCCAGGGGGGCGGCCCTCAGACTCGGCATGGGGCGCGCCCCCACCCCCAGGCTCCAGGACCCCGCCCGGCTTCCAGGGAAGGAGACGAGGAGCCGGCAGGCGTGGGGGGTCCGGGTCGGGCGCCGGGGTCAAGGGCTGCCTCCGCCCCCCCCGCCCAGGCCTCCCGCGCTGCCCCCCCCCCCCCGGGACGCGAGCCGACAGGGCATCTTACCAGCGCCCGCGCGGGCAGTGCCCCCCGGCCGGCCGGCTGCTGCGCCCGGGGCTCTCCGGGGCCGCCCGCCCGCGCCCGCGCCCGCGCCGGGGGCCCCCGTCCTCCGCCGCCGCCGCCGCCGCCGCCTCGGGCTGCAGCCGGCCCGGCGGGCAGGTCCCGGCGCTCGCGGCGCGGGGCCGGGGCCGGGGGCGGTTGCTCGGCGCCGCCGGCCGCCGCGCCCCCGCGCCGCTCCCCGGCCCCGGAGTCGAGGCTGCTGAAATTCCACACGACCAGCGTCTGCAGCAGCAGCACCGTGAGCGCCGCGAGCAGCGCCGAGTGCGAGCGCCGGGCCAGCCTCCGGGCGCACGGCGCCGCCACCATCTTCGGAGCGCGGCGGGCGAGCGGGGCGCGGGGACCCCGGGCGGAGGCTCCGGGCCGCCCCCGCGCTCCCCGCGGCTCCCCGGCCGCCGCTCGGGCTCGGGCTCGGGCTCGGGCTCGGGCTCGCGCTCGCGCTCGGGCCGCCTCCTCCTCCGCCGCCGCCGCCGCCGCCTCGGCTCGCCGCTGCTCCTCCTCCTCCTCCGCCGCCGCCGCCGCCGCCGCCTCCACCGCCGCGGCGCGGAGTTTTCAGACGGGCAGGGACCCGGACGTCACCGGGAGGAGGGGAAGGCGGGAGGCGGGAGCCGGAGGCCGCGCAGGGGGCCGCCGTGCGCGCGCTCGGGGAGGGGGCGCGCGGGGCGCGCGGGGCCGGGGCTCCCCTCCCGCAGCCCTCCCGGGGGAGGGGGGGGCCCGCCGCGGCCGGGGCCGGGGGGCGCGGGGGACGCGGCCGGGGGGCGCGGGGCGGGGCCTGGGGGCGGAGCGACGGGGAGGAGGAGGAGGAGGGAAAGGAAGGGGGTGGGGGCAGCGGAGCGGACGGAGTCGGAGCGCGGCGGCGGAGAGGGGCGCAGGCCCCCCGCGGGGGAGGGGGAGGGGGCGGGGGAGGCTGGGCCCGCCCAGAATCAGCGGGGAGCGGGGGGTCGGGGAGATGCGGGGGCCGGGATCCCGCCTTCCGCGCCGAGGGGAGCGGGCTCCCCGCCCTGGAGTTCGCAGTCCGGGCGTCTTCACCCGCACGAAGCCGGCGGGGCAGGTGGAGACGCGAGTAACGCGATCCCGAGCGTCGGAGCGCGGGAGGGTCTCGCGCGGCGGGTCCCTGGATGCCGGGCCCGGGCTCCATGCGGCAGGGAGGAGGCTTCGGGTGAGTCTCTGTGAGTGACTCCTGAGTCACACCCCACCCTCTGGAGCCAACGATGTACTAAGTGCTTCACTGAGTCACTTCTCTGGTCCCTAAGGACGAACAAGCCAAGAGAGAGACTCCAAACCCAGTTGGCAAGCAAGTGCTGGAGTTGGTAAGGGGGGGGGCCCAGGGGTGTCTCTCGACCTGCAGAGGCTTCCTCTGGCCCCTGAGCCTTCCCCTGGGTCCTGCCTCCCATCCGTCCCAAAGCCTGCCTTTGTGTCCATGCAGGGTCCAGCTCCTGGGGAAAATGGGTCTTGACTCGTAAAGCGGAGTGTTCTCTCCCCTCGGGGCTGGACTGTGGCGGTGACCTTGAGCCAGGAGACTCCTCCCTGGGCCTGAGCTTCCTTCTCTGTCAACGAAGAGTTCGGACTGACCATCTGAACCGACTCACCCAAGCTTCACCCCCAGCCTTGTCTGAGTCAGTTTTTCCAGCTTTCTCTCCCTTGTCTTCTCGCCCAGGGCTTTATACACAGCGGTCCTGAACACACGGGGGCCCGGACAGAGGGGCCATGGGTGTCCTGGACAGGACTTTGCACTAGAAGACTAGGATAGCGGACCAAATCCCCAGTTTGTTAATCAGGGACCCGGTGGGGGATGGGTGTGAGTGCCGCGCATCTTGTCTGCTGTGCTTTGAAGTCTCATCCTTATTTTTTTAAAGAAAAGAAAGTGCAGGAATAGACAGGATCCATCAGAGAAGGAGGCAGAGAGGGGAAAGATACGGTTTCACCCACTCATCAAGAATCCAAAGTGTTATTGGTTTGTGAGGGCGGGGGTGGTAGTGACCACCAGAAAAAAATGCTTTCTGGACCCACATAACAAGCCAACCCACTTCCCGGAACTGAGAGGGCAAACTGCCAGCTAGTGGGGATTCTAAACTATGGGCTAGACTCAGCCTTTGGGGTAACTAAGCCTGGCCAGGCATGTGGACAGACATAGGAACAGTCCCTGGGCTCAGCTCACCTAACCAGGAGTGAAATAGAAGAACAGAGGTGAGCACTTTGGCCTTCTGTCATCTGTTTATCACTTGGGAATATTTTGGTTATAAGGAATAAAACCTCTATTCTAACTGCCTTAAAAATAGAGTTTATTGGATGGTGTATCTGAATATTTCAGAGGAAAGACATCAGGTGAGGTTTGATCCAGCAACTCGGCACTATGACTTTGAATTCTTTTTCTTTCCATCTCTCCTCTCTGCCTTTCGTGGGGTCTGTTTCATCCTGAGGCTCTCTCCTCGTGTCACAACCTGGCATTAGTTGCTGAGACTCTTTGCGTCCTTTGTTCGTTTCTAGCCCAAAGGAAGGAGGGTCAGCATTTCCCAGAATTCTCCTCAAAGGTGCTGAGATGCTCTCTGATTGAATCAGCTCTGGGTCATAGGTCACCACTCACCAAGCAAGGTAGCCAGGAAAATAGAATGCGCTGATCGGCTTGGCCAAGGTTCCATATGGCACCTTCGGCACTGGAGAGAAGCCAGCGTCCCTGCAACCATCTAGATGTTCTATAGGGATCAAGGTCTTATGGGAAGGAAGGAATGAGGAATAGGTACAGGGGAAGCAGGCACCATTATCTATTCCATGGGGCCACCTTGGTGCTACATGACCCTGGGCAATCCACTCCCCTCCAAGAACTTTGGTTTGTTTAATGCCAAATGATGGATTTGACGAGGTGGTCCTCTAGATCATCATGTCATGTCCCCAGAACTCCTCCTCAGTGTCTAAACAGAGCTTCCCAATCCCAGCAGAGGCTGCCCTGGGGACTCTTGGCATCCACGCCCTCCCGCCTGTCTCTGCTTCAAGGTCTCTGCTGCATTTCTCCTTTAAGCAACAATGATGTTATCTGCTTCCTGCACATGACACGTTTAACCATGGTCCTCTGGGGCCCATGCTCTGGTTCAGCTCCCTTGGGGGCCAAAGGCTGAAAGAGTGAGGTTAAGGATCCAGGCCCCCAAGTCCCTGGAGGGAAAGAGAGAGAAAGAGAGAGAGAGAGAGAGTTGTTTGTTTATTTCAACTCATAAAAAGCCACATGAGAAAGAGGTTTAAAAGCTCCGGGCAGGTTATGGATGCCATAAACAGCTTATGTGAGGTTTTCAGGATGAAAAATCGCCTGAGATAGAAGGGCAGGAAGGCAGGCTTCTAGAGTTGCCAGAATTATCTTCCTGTCCCGAGACAGACCGACAGCCCAAGCACCTGCACAGAGTCCCCCATAGAAGACGGGGCCCAAGTACTCCAGCGGCAGCGGCTCAGGCGACAGCAGCGTCTCTTTAGAATTTTTAAAGCTCATTCAGTCATTCAACACAGATGTATTGGGCCCTATTATGTGCCAGGAACCACGCTGGGCAAGAGAAAAATAGATATGAAGAAGATTCCCTAAGGGTTTTTTCTTTTTAAATACGGTTCCTACTCTCGTATTGAAGTGAGAGCCAGAACTCTAAGGAAGTTCCAACTGATGTGTGGGATTCCCTCCACACCCCCACACCCAAATCTTGTTTGATCATCACTTTCAAACGAGGGGAGGAAGATCAGCCAGCAAGGAGTTCTGAGCTCTTGGGTGTGCCCAGCACTGAGCTAGGAGCTAGGAGGGAAGTCAGGGAAGAGGGGTCTTCACCCTCAAGGACCTATCCGACAGATGTCCCGCTCTGCTTTTTGTCTGAGACCTTCAGCATCGATTGTTTAAGTTACTTATGCCTCAATTTCCTCATCTGTAAAAGGTGATGGTGGGGATAATAATAGGGCCTTTCTCATAGATTTCTTATGAGGATTAAGTGAGATTACCCATGTGAAGTGTTTTTCTAGAAAGACTAAAACATATTAAGTGCTCAATAAAAGTTAGGTATTGTTCATCTCATTAACAACAATAGGGCGGTGTCAATTATGAGTGTCCAAAGGTATCAGAGGGGGAAAAAAACGGGGGAGGATATTCAGAGAAGGCTGCCTGGAGGAAGCGGCATTGAATCTAGTCCTCCATTCTGATAAAAGACCAAGTACCCCAAGGTCAAGGCACTTCTCTCTCTGGCACTTTGCATAGTGCAGGGCACGGAGTAAACCTCGGGCATAGAATGAACACTGGACTGGAGCCCCATGCTTCCAAGTTGGCAGAAACCAGCACCATCTTGGCAACTTTTTTTAGTTGTGTGATTTTAGGCAAGTTGCTTAATGTTACCAAACTTTAATATTCTAACCTGTCAAAGGTGAAGAAAAATAATGTTTATGTCCTAAGGCTACTAGAGGGCATAGGATCAGGGTACCGTATAAAACAAAGTGCCATACAAAATTTCATACAAAATGTTGGCACTGGCCAGTGGCGGTATTGATGGAATGTTAACCTGGCCAATGGTGGCAGGCTGGTCCGTAAAGAAATGCTCCCTCCTGCTCTCAGGTACTCCTGATGGAAGGTACCAGAGAGCCAGGGCAGGACATGCCTTCTGAATTTAAACTTCAGCCTAAGAGTCACATGTAGTCAAATACATGTTTGTTTGTTTGTTTTCCCATCTCGATCTGCCTTAATCTTAATGTGTCTATTTCTTTTTGGTTTATTAGAGCCTGTTTTCACCCAGGCTCTGTTTTGACCCTAACTTTGCTCTTAAAAAATGTAAGACCTCCCCCCTCCGTTTCACTTCAGCATCAAACAGAAATCATAAGCACAGGTCACCTGTTTCGCAGTATCAGTGGGAGGGTTGTGCACAGAACACCGTCACATGGCTAGGAGCCTCTGGTTCTTTCAGGCAAGTGCATGCAAGCACCACGATTCCTGGGCACATGGAGGTCAGAGGAGGCAGGATGCCCGCGGCTCCCCTGGGCCCCACCAAAGCCCAGGAGGCCACAGACACGCAGCACCTGTACCCCGCCCTCCCCCCCCCCCCCCCGCCCACTCCACCCAAGAGAAGGAAACAGCCTCTGATCAGATGTAGGTAGGCAGACACGTTCTGCCAGACACCCAGCTGTGCTTCTGACGCCGGCTGCGGTTCCAGGGAATCTTCCACCCAGTGTATCAGCAGAGGGAGCTCTAGGTAGCAAATAACTTTCCTCTGACCGCATACCTTCCTTTAGAAAAGATCTGGAGACAGCAAGGAAAGGCAGGGTTCCTAAGTGGAGTTGGCATGGGCCCTGTGCAGAAGGAACCCCCCACCCCCCAGCCATTCACAACAGTGGTGTGTGGCCTGCAGGGCTGGGGGTGATGGAGGA